CGGGGCGGGCGCGGCGGGGGCCCACCCACCTCCGGACCAGGCGAATTAGTCGCCGTTTCCGTGCGACCCTGATGTTTCCTTTCATGTATGCCACGGGTTTTCATTCATTGGCCTCCGAAGAGAAAACAGCGTCAAATAGGAAACCGAGACCAATATTATTGGCTTGCATGGACCCGCCTCGCCAGCCTCAGTTCGACACCACGCAATGCGGTAAAGAGGCTGGGGGCCGGGACCAGCGCTGCTGCACCTGCCACCGCCGAGAAATCGGCCCGGAAAACGCCAAGTGCGCTTGTGTGTACGGACGCCATGCGAATCGGGCAATTAAAAGCGCGGAGTGAGGGGGAAGGGGCGGGGAGGAAGGGACGGAGAGGGGGGGAGGGGCAGCGGGAGGTAAGTCTGAGGTCTTCTCCCGCCGCCGACGGAATCATGCAAATCCGAAAAAAAGCACCTTTAAGCGGGACGGCTAGATGGAGGAGGGGGTAAGAAGGAAGCGCCAGCGTACACGCATTGTAATGGCAGAGCTGAGCAGGTGCAGCTGTGCCGGGGGTTCCCCTCCTGCGTTGCGTATTATTTACTTTCAAGAGCCCTCGCCAATGCCGGCTGCCACGGCGGCCGCGGTGTCTGCGGCCATTTAGAGCCGTTGCCGAGTGTAGGTGCGCGACGCGTCGATTTAGAGTGAAAATGATGATAAAATAAAGATCTCGTGTTTGCAACAACAGGTTTTGAACACGGCCGCGCCGTTAAGTCGCTCGCTTTTTAACGACTGCGTTGTACACGAGGAGTGTAGAACTGGCCAAAAGGTGTACAGTATAAATGATTGTGTCTAGACAATAATTGTTTCAGATTGTGTGTGATTGTGTATGATAGTGTCGATGATAGTCTCTGATTGTTTCAGATTGTTGGGAAAATATTGGGACGTATTTTGAGAAATTGTGTCATGATTGTATCAGATTTTGTGTGATTGTTTCCGACTCTGTATGATTGTTTCCGATTCCGGGTAATTGTTTCAGATTGTGTGATTGTTTATGCTTGCGTGTGATTGTTTCCGATTGCGTGTGGCTGTTTCCGATTGGGTCCTAATCGTTTCTTAATGTTTTTCGAGATGTACACATTTTGTGTCCAGTTCCACACACCTCGGTTGTACGCTAATTGTTCGGCGTCGATGCAAGTGAACGCGCGGCACTATCAGCGCGCAACAAAAGTTCTAAAGAGTGAAGTTTTAGGACAACAACTTCATTTTCTATGGAATAAACTTGTCTCGCAGGAGGAAGACGGTCGCGTCGCGGGTCCGGGGCGGGAGGAGGAGCGTGAGGACAATGGCAATGAGAGTAAAAAAATGTGTGGGAACGCAGTTTCAGTGGTCACGGTCAAGCGTCGCCGATATGACTCTATCTAGCCTCTCCTTTGTGTGCTGTCATACACTCACCGACATTACAGAAAAGGAAAGGAAAACTGCTTCTGTTCCAGAGAGACGTACATCTCCAGAGAGAAAGAGCATGCAGAAAAACAAGCTCCATAAAAAAGCGGCTGTAAAACGACAAGAGTAATTACTCTAGGCGTCGCCAACATTGCATGAGAAAATAGTTTTTCTGCTACGTTTTGCCGATGAACGGCCGCATGCACGACGACGGCTCGTTTGGCACCGATAAGTTAGCGCGCAGTAAAAGTGGCCGACCTGGGTGAGGGACCTTTGGCTCTCTGTCACTCAGCACGCCGGGGGGAAGGGGGGGGGGGGTATTCAGCCGTGGGCAGAGACGAGATGAAAGTAGATTTGCATTTGCATCTGGCCTTGGGCAAGATGCACCTGCACCGAACAGGTCCCCGTCCGCCTACGGGCGCCCACAGGTTCATGTCGCGTGGGGTTGACTACCTCCCACCGGCGTGCCATACGCTTGGCTGCCTAGGAGGGGAAGGCCATCCCGTCAGGCCGGCCTGTTACACCCTGGTTGAGCGTGGGGTTGCCTACCTCACCGGCGCGCTGGGACGCCTGGGAGGTGG